GAGCAGCACCTACAGCGAGAATGTTCTTCTCTGCTGCGAGGAGGTGCTTCTTGAAGTCGTCTACAGTGAGACTGGTGGGGTCTAGCGCTAGGAAGTGGTCCCTGACAGAGCTAAGAGTGTCAGGGAGGCGGGTGACGAGGAAATAGAGAGTGAAGTACATCGGGGGGGGGGTTGCGGCGCAGAACTCGGCTGAAAGGGCGGCACGAAAGCGAGAGTTAGTAGCGCGCAGGTGAGAAACTAGGTCCTCAGCAGTGGTGAACGAGGAAAGATCGGGGAACAGGTACGGTAGCATGAGTCGACCTATGGCTGCAGTGGCCGGGGAGGAGTAGCGCGCAACTATAGCGTCGTACAGTGTCTGAGCAGTCCTGTGCTGGCTGAAATGCGCTCGCTCAGTAATCGGCAGGTGGTTCCTAATAGCTAGACGTGCAGCAGCATCACGAGACTGCCACTGGGAGCGTTCTAGAGCAGGAGCATCAGCAGCAAGAGCAACGGCAGAGCCAGAGACGTAATCAAACAGGGAAACGCCATCTTTGGCATCGGTCAGAAGGAACAGTTGGAGATCGTCTAACCATACACTGAACTCGATGGGACGACCATCAGGCTCGAACGCTAGAACGTTAGGCGTCGCCATATTGGCTTAAGGCAGGAGGTAGCAGGCAGCAGGCAGCAGGCAGAGGCAGCAGGCACCAAGTAGGAGGCAGGAGGCAGAGGCAGGAGGCAGGGGCAGCAAGCAGCAGGCAGAGGCAGCAGGCACCAAGTAGGAGGCAGGAGGCAGAGGCAGGAGGCAGGGGCAGCAAGCAGCAGGCAGGCAGGAGGCAAGCTGCAGGCAGGCGGCAGCAGGCAGCAAGCAGGCAGGCGGCAGGCAGGCAGCAGCAGGCAGCAAGCAGGCAGGCGAGAGCAGGCAGCAAGTAGCAGGCAGGCAGCAGGCAGGCAGCAGGCAGGTTGCAGGCAGGCGGCAGTAGGCAGCAAGCAGGCAGGCAGGTAGGCTGCAGGCAGTAAGCAGGCAGGCGGCAGCAGGCAGGCAGGCTGCAGGCAGGCGGCAGCAGGCAGCAAGCAGGCAGGCAGGCAGGCTGCAGGCAGTAGGCAGGCAGGCGGCAGCAGGCAGGCAGAAGGCAGGCTGCAGACAGGCGGCAGGCAGGCGGCAAGCAGGCAGGCAGGCAGGGTGTAGGCAGCAAGCAGCAGGCAGGGAGCAGGCAGGCAGGCAGCAGGCAGGCTGCAGGCAGGCGGCAGCAGGCAGCAAGCAGGCAGGCGACAGCAGGCAGCAAGCAGGCAGGCGGCAGCAGGCAGCAAGCAGCAGGCAGGCAGCAGGCAGCAAGCAGCAGGCAGGCGGCAGGCAGGAGCGGCAGGCAGCAGGCAGCAGGCAGGAGCGGCCTGAGGGCTGCGTGTGGCGGCTAGCTGCACGAGGCTGCAGGCTGCGCGTGGCTACGAGCAGCGCGCGCGGCCGCAGGCTACGCGCGGCGACGGATTGCGCGAGCTGCGGGCTGCTTGCAGCTGCGGACTGTGCGTGGCTACAGCGTGTGCGGCTGCATTCTACGTGCGGTTGCGGGCTGCGCTGGGCGACGGGCCGCACGTGCGCGGCTGCGGGCTGGTCGCTACGCTACGGGCTACGCTGGGCGACGGGCCGCGCTGGCGTGGCCTAATCAGGTTTCGCACTGGCGGCTTAAGGGGCGCACAGGCGGGGCCGAAACGGGCTACGCGGGCTGCTGAGACGGCGCACGTGGGAAAAAAAAAGGACCGCCCGAGGCGCGCGCGGGCAGCCGAGGCGCGCGTAGGCACTAGGTGAGACAGGCAATCGTGGTGGGCCCTAATCGTAGGTCCTAAGGACCTATGCTCTGATACCATCTCATAATCTTACGGGAAAGTTGTGTGTCGACTATCGAGGGGAAAAGATACAAAGGAGAAACCTAAGGGGTTGTACCCCACAGTGAGTACCCCACTAAGCCTAACCAAACTACAACAAATATACACATATGTTTGACAAGTCTACGGGGAATTCAAGCAGAATCTGCCTTGACCTAGCGCAAAAGGGATTTCCGTACGGAGCAGAGGTCGAATCTGCTGTTGGTGTCGCAAGGGTGACTGTGACTGGCGCTGTGACTGGCGCGCTGTGACTTGCGATGTGACTGGCAATGTCACTGGCACTGTGGCGATGTGACTGGCACTGTGGCGATGTGACTGGCGCTGTGTTAGAGCACATCTATTTCGACCAATAACAGCAACCTAAAATCTAACATTACAGATTCGTCCGATCTAGATGGTGGGTGTATGGGAACGAAACTTCGAAGAAACTTCGTCTCGATAAAGCGAGGGGGGGGGGGGGGGGGGGGGGGGGGGGGGGGAGGATTACGCACGTGGGGGGCACTGAAATCAATGCGAAGGGGTTATCAGGAGGAAATTTCCGAGAAACTTCGCCCCGATAACATCGCATTCAGGGTCCACAGGCCTCGTACTCTGTATTAACAGGGTCCGTGAAAACCCTACACTTAGAGTGTACACAAAATTTCAGGGTCCGCTAAAGCAATACTCTGAATGGATCAGGGACCAAAATGTGAAAAACCTGATTTCTCAGGGTCCAGAAAGTGACAAGTCTGAAATCACCCTGAAATCAGGGTAATTACCCTGATAAAATCAGCCCTGCGTAGGACCATGCCCTTATGTAGGGCCTGGAAAACTAGTATGGTAAACAACACACTTGCTTTGGCAAATTATCCTATCGCTAGCCTTGATCAACATTGAGTTGATCACAGTCAGTACAGCTTGATTATCCGTGCTGTACAACAATGCCGGGGAGTGCTTTTGTAACCTGTGAATATGCAGACTTCCATATTTTTAACCAGCTTAGTTTTTCTATAAAACAAATCAAGTCAGCTCTACAACGAAGATTGGGGGAGGATGTCCCTTGTCCTTCACTTCCGCTATGGCTTGGGCAGCAGCAGATTTTCGTGTCCATGCCCTTGAAATATTACATACATTCTGGTTTGTTTGAATGTTTCGTCTTTGGCACACGCTGAAGCTTGCGGTGGCAACTTTAGAACTAGGGACTGGAGGTCCACACATTTTTGTTCTCGCATCCTATTCAATGTGCACTAGTAAAATCGCGTCCAGCCTTTCACAAGCTGAAAGCCTGCATATTGCCACTCAGATAAGTTACTACCTCAAGAAACTAAAAAAACAAAAATTTATCCTTTTCACGCCTGACCCGAATGCTACATTCACCTCCCTCCCTCGCATCTGCCCGTCTTGAGCCCTCAAATACTGGAACTCTGGACTGGAGCCATCAGCAGGAATTAGGGGCGCACGCGGTGCATTCCTTGTGCACTATACTGTACCCCGTAGAGAGTCGTCCTCTCCTCCCCACCCCACCCTCCCTGACCTGCTTCCTTCTAGAGTCGTCCTTGTCAGATCAATCATCAACACACCCAATCTCTCTTCGTTTTCCCCTGCTACAAGCACACCATAAGAGTAATTCTGCTTGTATGCATCTCATAACATAACAGCGTCTCCCTAGTCTTAATTTCTATACTCAGTCTGTAGTAATTTTCTCGAGCTGATTGGCTGTGGCCCTACGCTTACGGTTTCTTGTTGGTTGATATCGGCCAGGGTTTTGGTTTGAGCAAAGTTGGGGCAAATGGCTTTGGCTGAGTCTCCGCCTCATGGCCGATTAACCATTTGTGTACCGTTCCGCGAATGATGGAACACATTCGTCGAAGGATCTGATGGATTTTCAGTCTAACAAATTAATTCTGGACAAACGGAAAACCTCTTTGAACAGAAAACTCCTTCGGTTAGCGTAAGCGGTGGCAACCTCAGCTTAGCGTACGCAGTGTGCGATGGGGCGGGAAGGGCGCCCTGTGCGCGAGATCCGTCTCCCCGCGAAGCTTCGCGACGAGTGCATCGAGCTGCCGTCGAAGCACTACTGCGCGTGCCGGCAGTCGTACAAGAAGGGCCGCTTCATGATCGCGTGCGACGCCAAGAACAAGAGCGTGCACTGCTTCGAATGGTGCCATGGCGCATGCATCGGCATTTCCGAAAAAGTCAGTCAGCCATCAGAAACCCGCTCCGCTCCACCACCCGCGCTTTTCTCTAGCACGGCTTTCGCTTGCTCTTGCACCGGTCGCATCACTTCTCGCGTCTCCACGCTCTTGCCTCTCTGCTCTTCCTTCCCTGAGATCTCGCCCCAGCAAAGCCGTCCCTCCTCCTTCCGTTCTGGGTAACAGCTTCCGCGCACATCTCGCCTTTCAGCTCCTCCATCCGCCTCCACCTGTCTTCACTCCCGATTTTTCTCTTGGCGCCATAAACGTCACTTAGGGTTTCGCCACTAAGGGTTACTCCTCTTATAATTGCTGCGCCGGTGGGGAACCGCTGTAATTAGCCGGCGTGACGTGTCGCACACGCAACCGTCTTGAGGAGTTGGTTGTGGGGTTCGTACGTTCTTGCCGCCGTAGATCTTCTTTGCAGGTTTTCTCGGCAGATCTCCGCCGCAGATATAACCTGCACGGGAACTAACTGGGATGAATCTAAATCTCTGTGGACATGGGACTTGTAAAACCCCGATGAAACGCAACCGTACGGGATGAAACGGATCCGTATCCCAGGTCCTCTCCTGCACGTACCGTAACCGTACGATGTGCTACGTTTCAGTCGATGCGCCGGGAGCGTGCTATTCATACATGTAGCTTGTTGCGCGTCGCACGCGCATCGCGTTCGTCGCGCGTTCCTCCCTTCCTCTCCTCCCCCGCGACTTTACCCCGTCACTATCGCGCCACGACAACTGTCGCTGGAAATTGTCTTTGCACTAGCCAGTGTTCCCCAATCCCTTTTTCTCCGCATCGCCTCACACACCCGTTTTTTCCCGTTCTCTGCTCTTTTTCTCCTCCTCCCTCCCCTCTCCTTTCTCCCCCCTCCCTCCCCTTCCCCACCTTCCCCCCTCTTTCGCCTTCGTTCCCATCCGTGCGTACGTTCTTCGTTGTCGCATGGTTACCCTTCAGGAGGCAGCGGGCATGGGCGAATACTTCTGCGAACCCTGTCGCGCAGCCGCGCAGGCGATAGTTGCGGGAGGCGACGACAACGCCGCCGCCGCGGCGTCTGCGGCTGCAGCGGCAGCGGCGGCGGCGGCGCTAGCGGCGGGCGTGGCGGCGGGCGCGGCGGCGGGCGCGGGAGTGGCGGTGTCGCCCGGGCAGAAACGGGCGAGGCGAAAGTCCAACCAGAAGGTGAGGGTTTTGGGGAGGGCAAGAGACGGGGGAGGGGAGTTTAGAGCGAGGCAAGAGACGGGGAGGGGGGGGATTTGGCTGGGGGAAGAGGGGGACAGCGGAGATAGGGAGAGGAGATGGGCGGAAGTCGCGGGCGCAGGGGTTCCGCCGCGGGGCAAGCCCACAGGCGAGGCGCAATTTGATTTAGAAGGTGAGGGCTGGGGGCGGGGGAGGGGTTTGGGGAGAGCGGCGGGTAGTGGGAGGGTGAGGAGTGAGGGCTGCGTAAGGCTGTGAGGGGAGAAGATGAGGTAGCAGTGGGGGTTTTATGGAAAAAAGAACAGCGGTCGTAGGGTTACCAGGGTTACCAGCGTGTAACCAGTCAGATGTTTGAGATTTCGTGAAGAAAGTGGATGGAACAAGTACAGAGGAGGGAACCAGTTGGAATATCCAGTCCAGGCTAGGAGATGGTTTTCTTTATGTTGTCGACGTGGTGGCAAATGCCGAGTGAACGAAAGGAGGACGGGACGGCTCTCTCGCTTGGCAAAGCGCACCAATGACAATCATCCTTCGTCAAATTGCGTTGGAAATTGTCCCTGCGATTTCTCACCTGACCTTAGCCCGTGGCCGTTCCACCAACCAACCAATTGTTGAGATGTGGAAAGAACAAGAAAGGATCGTCGAGGCGCCTCCGAAATTATGTTTTGCAGTCTGTCATCGAAGAACGCAGTGTTGTGAAATGCACGCACATGGGGAAGGCACAGCGGGATTTATGTCTGTCTTTTAGTAATACACGTAATACATTTGTACAGTGGGCACTGTGCACTGCGTTGATTTTCTTCAACTGGATGCGATGGATTGCTCGTGTGCACATGTGTGCGTGCATGGATGTACGCATGTATTTTGTTGTTTGATTTCGTGTGTGACTTGGATGCATGGCATGCGTCCGCACTGCAACCCCTTGCGCTGCTGTTTGAAAGAATTGCACGGCTTTTCTGTAATTTTGTGACACTTCCTGCTCCCCATTTGAGCGAACACACCAGCCAATCAAGCAACCAACGTTTTTTACCACCTCTCCCCCCACCTTTCCCCCTCTGCCCCCTCTGCTTCCCTCTCCCCATCGCCCTCCCCAGGCCTGTCTTTCGGATGGAGGCCATTCAGACGCCACGTCCGACGCCGACAATCCCGAGGCTCCAGGCAGCCACACTACATCCGTGCAGGCAGCCAGTCGCAGGCTGACACGTGGCGAGGCACAGAAGCTACAGCGGCTGCAGCAAGGGGGCGCAGCAGCTGGGGAAGGCGAGGAGGTGGAGGAGGAAGAGGAGGGGGAGGGAGAGGAGGAGGGGGATGGTGGGGAAGGGGGAGAAGGGGGGGGATACGCAGAGGAGCAGACAGGAAGGGTAATGGCTGGGGGAGATGGTAGTGATAATGTTGGTCAAGAAGGGATGGGAGGGATGGCAGTAGGAATGGGAGTGGAAATGGGTATGGGGATGGGGGAGGTCGAAGGCATGGGCATGGGCATGGGGATGGGAATGGGCATGGGAATGGGTATGGGGGAAGGCATGGAAGGCGCTGAGTTTAGCATGTATCATGTTCTGGAAGGGTGGGAAGCTGGGCTGGAGGGCATGACGGTGGTCCCAGGGGCTGCTGCTCCTGCTGGTGGTGTTGTCACTGCAGCAGGTGCAGCTGCTACTGTGGCTACTGCTGCTGATGCCGCTAATGCTGCTGCTATAGCTGCTACTGCTGGGGACGGCATGGGCTTGGCAGTGCCAGGGGGAGAAGTGCCTGGTGCGGCTGACGCGGGTCTGGGTGCAGGGCTGGTGAGTATGGGAGGAGGAGGCGCTAACGGTGATACGCATAACGCCTTGGGTGGGGACCACCAGCAGCAGTTGCAGCAGCAGCATGTGCAGCAGGAGGGGCAGGTGGAGCAGCAGCAGCTGCTGCAGCAGCAGCAGTTGTTGCAGCAGCAGGAGCAGGAGCAACGGGAGGCAGGGCAGCCGTTTTCTGTGTACGACGCGGTTGCTGCTGCCGCTGCGTCTGCCGCTCTGCCAGACGACACAGTGCAGTCTCCTACACGCGCTACGCTTCCACCGCAGCTGCACCCCTCAGTGGACCCAGCAGCAGCAGCAGCAGCAGCAGCAGCAGCAGCAGCAGCAGCAGCAGCAGCAGCAGCAACAGCAGCAGCAGCAGCAGGGGCAGAGGCGAAGGGTGGTTTGAAGCGCACAGCAGACATGATGATGGGGGCTAGTCAGGGATTGGATCCAAATGCTGCCGCTGGTGCTTACGTTGCCGGTGCTGGTGCTGCTGCTGGTGTGGGTGCGGGAGGGATAGAGATGGTGGATGCGGGAATTCTCGCCCCGGCAGCAAAGCAACCGCGAGTTGAAACCCAGGCCTCGGCTCTCCACGCTGCTTTTCCTGCCGTCCCACCAGCTGCGTCCCCCACCCTGGCTCCATGCGGGGCAGTGGCAGCAGACAGGGGAGGGGCAGGCGGGGAGAAAGCAGCCCTTGCCTTCGCACCTTCCCCTCTCGCTGCTGCACCAGGCTCTGTTACAGACGCAGCCGCAGCCACTGCCACAGCAGCAGCAGGTGGAAGTGCAGCAGCGGCGCCAGGAGCAGTGGCAGCAGGGGCTATGGCTCCTGGACCACAACTGGTGGCAGTGACTATGCCAGTGCAGTCTACTACTCCTCTTCCCACCGGTACCAGCACTGCCAGCGGCATTGCTACCGCTGCTGGTGCACCCGCCACTGCTGCGGTGCCTCCTGCGATGCCCGCCATCCCTCTCCTGCGCGTTCCTGTGTTCTATGGAAAGCCGCAGCTTCTGCCCTTTGCCATCCCGCCTCTCCCTGCCTTTGCTGGCGCCACTGCTGCTCCAGGGCTAGCGCCCCCTGTTCCTTCGCAAGTTTCGCCAGGTGTTCCGCCAGGCGTTTTTCCAGGTGTTCCAGGGGCCGCCCCAGGTGCTATGCCAGGTGGTGTGATGGCTGCAGTGCCGCCTACTGCTCCCCCTGGGGTAGGGCGAAGTGGGGCAGGAGCAGTGGTGGGGGGTGCGGGAGCAGGGGGGGTGAGCAGGCAGGGACAGGGAGCAGGGAAGGGAGCAGCAGTGAAAAGTGTCATGCGGACAAGGCAAGGGACAGCAGCAGCGGCGGCGGCTGCAGCAGCAGCTGGTGGTGGGAATTCTGGTACTGCCCTGGGCAAGCTACACCTACAGCAGCAGCAGCAGCAGCAGCAGCAGCAGCTGCTGCAGCAGCAATTTCTGCTGCAGCAGCAACAGCAGATGGGGCAGGACGACGCCCCCCCCCAGCCGCACACCAAAGCATACTACCAGCACCACTCGCGCATGCGCACCGGCAGCGGCAGCAACGCGGGGCCGCCACCAACAGGCGCAGCCCACGCCTTCCCTCTCGGATCCCTCTCTCGATCCGCTTCTGGCGGGTCAGCAGCAGCTGCGGCGGCTGCTGCGGCAGCAGGGGGAGTGGCTGGTTCTCCTGCGTCGCCGCGCACTGGTCCTTTGAAGGGCCCGGGGCAGCGGAGGAACTCGGCAGGGCAGGCAGGGGCGCGGGCGAGAGGGCAGGAGAAGGGTGCAGCAGGGGGAGGAGGCGGGGCTGGAGGGGGACGGGCAGGTAGCGGGCTGGCTGGGAGCAGCCCGAGAGGAGGAGGAGGTGGGGGTGGAGGGGCTATGGTGGTTGCGAGAAGTGCTAGTGGTGGTGGTGGTGGTGCTGCTGCTGGTGCTATGACTGGATCGCCTTCGGATATTGCGACGCGGCAGAGGTTCCGGGATTCTGTTGCTGCTGCTCTCTGCATCGGCTTGCTGGAAATGGCTGCTGCTTCTGCAGAAGCTGCTTCAAATGCTGCTGCAGCAGCTGCTGCTGCTGCTTCTGCAGCGGCGGCTGCTGCTACAGCTTCTAAAGGAGAAATCAAAGGGAAGGAAGAGGCAGGCGGTAGCAAGCAGCTAGAAGGGGTCAAGAAGGAGGAGGAGAGGGGGGAAGAGGTGAAGTTGCTTCCTGCTCCTCCTGCCAGTGTTGCGGCCCCAGAGGGGAAGGTAGAGGGGGGTGTGGAAACGGATTTGAGAGTGAAGAGTGAAAGGGAAGAGGAAAAGGCTGGTGATTTGGCGCCAATGGCAGATGTGACTAGAACGGCTGTGAAGGAGGAAGAGAAGGGTAAAGTGGAGCAGGCGCAAGAGACGGAGGAGAAGGAAGGCAAAGAGGAGGTTGGAGCTAATGTTGGTGTTGGTGGTGGGCAGGGTGGAAAAGAGAGCAGAGCAGCAGGTGGATTGGTGGTGAATGGAGTGAAAGGGGAGGCAATAGTGCAAGGAGAGACGGGAACAGTAGGGTTGGTTGCTGCAGAGGGGCCTCACACTCCAGGTGGCGTTTCAACCAATGTTCCTGCCACTCCTGGGGACTTGACGGCTGTGCAAGCTTCGGAGACTGCTCCCGCTTCTGTTTCTGACGCTGTGCCCTCTGATGCAGCCGCTGATGCTGTTGCTGCAGCTGACTCTTCTGCTCCTCCTGCTCCTCCTGCTGCTCCTGCTGCTGATCCTCGTCCTTCTGAGGAGGCTATTGCTGCTGTTGCTGCTGCTGGAGCTGAGTCCGCTGCTGCCGTCCACAGTGCGACCACTGTTGGAGCGGTTACTGCAGTCGACAGTGCAGCACAGCCAGCAGCAGGTAATTCCTCTGAAAGTGCAGCAGTGAATCAGTCAGATCCCACTGCTGCTGCCGCTGCCGCTGCTGCTCCTGCTCCTGCTGCTGCAGATGCTGCTGCGGCTGCAGGAGTGGTTGCAGGAGTGGTGGCCGGGGAAGCTGGGCTGAAATCAGAGCCTGTCACTGAACCGATGGTGACTGAAACTGTCGTGAAGGCTGAGGGTGTGACAGAAACAGGTGTGGCTGCAGGAGAGGCGGTGGTAGATGTTTTGATGGGAGAAGCAGCAGGCGCTGGTGCTGCTGAAACAGCAGGAGAATCAGCAGCAGGAGAAGCAGCAGCAGCAGCAGCAGCAGCAGCAGCAGCAGCAGCAGAGGCGGCTGCAGTGGCGGTGACAGGGAACGAGGAGGGTGGTGGCGCTGCTGCTACTGCAGTAGGTAAGGAGGGAGAGACGAGAGAGAAGCAAAGAGGGGCAGTGAAGGCGGAAGAGATGGAGGAGGATGTGGTAGAGGTGAAGGGAGGAGAGGGGAAGGGAGGATCGATAGAAGACAAGGTTGCAGTTGAGGGGGGAGAGGCGAGAGGTGTTGAACTCGGTGCACAGGTGTTGAAAGCGGATGAAGGAAGTGGAGGGAAGGGTATGGGGGAGGAGGGAGGAGCGGAGCCTGCAGCAAAGGCGGACTCAGACGTTGTTGAAGTGCCTATGGCAGAGGGCGCAGAGGGGGCGACAGGAGCTGGTAACGGGGAGGCTAATAAGGAGGACAAAGGTGGGGTGGGTGCACGAGTAACAGCGCAGGGAGGAGAGGCAGCAGGGGGGGATGTGGAGATGACAGATGCGTTGGTGGGGACAGAGGGGGTTGGAGCGGGAGGAGTGATGGGGGCACAGGAGAAGGAGATGGATGATGATGTGGTGGAGGTTGCACCAGGAGGGACGGAGGGAGCGACGGCTGATGTGGTTGCGGCAGCAGCAGATGCTGCAATCTTGCCAGAACCAGCTGCACCATCTGCTCCGCCAACACAACAAGCAGCAACAGAAGTAGCAGCATCAGCAGTAGCAGCAGCAGCAGCAGCAGCAGCAGCAGCAGCAGCAGCAGCAGCAGCAGCAGCAGCACCAGCAGCAGCAGCAGCAGCAGCAGTGCCATCAGCACCAGGAGCAGTGGCAGTAACATCTGCTCCAGCTCTAGCAATAGTGGCATCACCACCAGTGGCCACACCTTCAGGAGCCTTAACACCATCACCAGCAGCACCATCGCCAACATCAGCACCATCACCAGCAGCAGCATCACCAGCAGCAGCAGCATCACCAGCAGCAGCAGCATCGCCATCAGCAGCCATAATCCCATCATCCCCATCCACCCCGCCTGTCCCAGTCACCACCACCACCACCCCACCCGCCCCCGCACTCTCCCCAGCCTCCCTCCCCCCAGCGCAGCGCGCCAAAGCCGACGCCCTCGCAGCCACAATCGAAGACGAGCTCTTCCGACTCTTCCGAGGCGTGACTAAAAAGTACCGCGACCGGGCTCGATCTCTGCTCTTCAACCTGAAAGACCCGAGCAACCCAGAGCTCCGTGGGCGAGTAATCTCAGGGGACCTCCCCCCTAGAGAGCTCTGCCAGATGACTGCAGAGCAGCTGGCTTCACGGGAGCTGTCTCAGTGGCGAGAGGCTAAGTACCAGGAGCATGCGGAGCAGACGGTGTTGACAGAAGAGGATTCTGATGCGCTCATGCGAGTGGTTAAGAAGACGCATAAGGGAGAGGTGGAGGTTGAGTTGCCTTCGCTGGCGGAGGAGGTTTCGGCGCCTGTGGTGGCTGCTGTGGGGTTGAATGGGGGGAAGAGAGGAGGGAAGGGCGAGGAGGAGGGGAGAGGGAGGGGTGGGAGTGGTGCGGAGGGAAAAGGGGAGGGGGATGGGGTTGGAGCGGGTAGTGGGCGGAAGGAGAAAGAGAGAGGGGACGGTGGGGTTGGTGTGAAGAGGGAGAGGGAAGCGGATGGGGAGGGGAAGGGGAGTGGGGAGATTCTGAGTTGGGAGAAATGGAGTGCGATGAGGGGTGGTGGGGGAGGGGATGGGGAGGAGGAGGGCGACAGGGGGGTGGAGGGTGAGGAGGAGGAGCGGGGAGGGGGGAAACGGCTGGCTGTTGAAGGTATTCGGCGCAGGAGTTACAGTGGTGTGGTTGGGGGCTCGGGTGGGGGCTCGGGTGGGGGCTCGGGTGGGGGCTCGGGTGGATTGGAAGAGGAAGGGATTGGGGAGTTGATTGCACGAGTCACAGGCAGAGACAGATCAGGTTCAGGGGATGGGAGAGAGGGACGGGAAGGGAGAGAAGGGAGGGAGGGCAGGGAGAGAGGCGGAAAGGCAAGAGTGGGAGCAGAGGGGAGAGGGTCAGGTGGGATTGGGGGAGGTGGAAGAGTGCTGGGAAAGGCAGGGTCGTTGGGGGGTGAAGGGGAGAAGGTGCATGGCGGGAGGCATGGGAGGGATGTGAAAGAGGAAAGCAAGGAGGGGAGGGTGGATGGTGAGGGGGGAGGGGGAGGGGATGGAGGACGGAGTAGGGAAGGCGGAAAGGGGGTGAAGGAGAGAGCAGAAGGCAGGGCGAGAGAAGGAGGAGGAGGGGAGAAGGCTGCCGAACGGGGGCTAGCATTAAAGGAGAAAGAGAGGGAGAGGGAGGTGGAACTGGGTGCAGCCGCAGCATCTGCAGCAGCGTTTTGGGGGGGAGTGACAGAGGGTGCAGTGGAGGAGGTGTGGTCGCAGGCAGAGGAGGAAGCCAAGGCTCTGGCAGTGGGGCAGGACATATGGGAGGGGGGGCTGCAAGTCACGTCCTCACGAATGTGCCCCATCCGCGCCTTCCGAGTCAGGTACGCAAGGTTTAGGCTTTATGGTGCTTAGGCTTGGACTTTAGGGTGCTCTAGAGTACGACTGCTTACCACGGCTTGTGCTGTCCTCTTGGGGATTTGCAAAAACTGGCCAATTGCCCCATCTGCTTGCACGGTGCTTTCTATAATCGTTAGCACTCTGCTTACCTCATTCGCAACACCAGAGAGGCACCTCAAGCATCCACCACCCTCCACCCTCCACCCACCACCCACCATCCACCATCCACCACCCACCATCCACCATCCACCACCCACCACCCACCATCCATCATCCACCATCCAGCACCATACCACACAGCAGACAGCCTGCTGTGCTTGCTTTCTCCCTTTCTCACCATCAGCTGCCTTGCTTGAATATTCCAAAACCCTCTCTTTCTCCCCCATCTCCCACCTTCTCCTCCCCATTCATCCCTGTCCTCTCCGCCCCACCCCACCCGTCCCTTGTTGATCCCCTCTCCTGCTCATCACCCATCCATCACCCCTCCATCACCCATCATCAACCGTCTGTCACCCCTCCATCGCCCATGCATGACACGACGTGCACAATGTGTGAGCAGTGGCGACAGCAGTGTGGACGTGGGGCGCTTTGAGGCGGTGGTGGAGGTGAAGGGGCGCGTCAAGATGTCAGACTTCGCCACCTTCCTCTCTGCCCTGCGCACCGCTCGCTCTAGAACCGTCGTGGTGCGCCCTCTTACTCTTTGTTTCACTCTCACCTCCTCCCCTCCTCTCTCCTCCTCTCTTCCTCTCTCCTCCCCTCTCCTCTCTCCTCCCTTCTCCTCACTCCTCCGCTCCGTTTCTCCCTCCACCACTCCCCTCCTCTCTCCTCCCCTCCCCTCCTCTCCCGTCCTCTCTCCTCCACTCTCACCCACTCCCTTCCGCTCCCCTCCACTCTCGGCCACTCTCGCCCACTCTCCTCCACGCCCCACTACCCTTTGCGCCTCCCGTCCTCCCCCCACGACTCTCCTCTACTTGCGCTCACGCCTCTTCTCTTGTTGCTGCTCTTATCTTGTGCGACTCTAACCCTCCACTCCACTCCAGAATTTCAAGCTTATGCTCTTGCATTTCTTCTAGTAAAACCGCCCCTCCCCCCCCCCCTTCTCCCCTCTCCGTCCCCTACCTTATCCACACTCATTTTCTCTCTTTTTTCTATTGTCCTCTCTGACTTTTACATGCCTTGTGCTATTGTCCTCCGCCCCCCATTGTGTGTGCATGGCATGGCACCAGGTCCTAGTGCTGCTATGCCCAGATGTTACAGATGACGCCCTTCATGAGGTATGTCTGGCATTCACTAGCCTCTTCTTTTCCGCCTCTATTGTTCTGCATCTTCTTTTCAGTGCTTCTCTTCATTTTAGCCGCCGCTCGCGTTATCTCTTAGCCTCTACCCCCTACTCCCACGTCTACCATCTTTGAGAATCCGCAAGAACCTGTTGACTACGTCAACTGCCTCCTTTCTCCGCTCTTGCTTTGTGCTGTGATATACCCACTTCCCTCTCCCTCTCCCTGTGCTGTGCTGTGCTTTGTCCCTCTCCCTCTCTTCCATCGCCCCAACTCCCACTCATGTTTCCTCTCATTATCCACTCGGTGAAATCCATTTCTCCCTCATCTCTCCATCACCTCCTCCTCACCTCCCCCTCCTCTCTCCCTCACACACCTTTCCTTCATCCTCCTCTTACCTTCCCCTGCCCTTTCTACTCCACCCCACCCGTCTCCCTATCTTCTCACACCCACCTGTCTGCCCCATGGGAGCAGGCAGCAGAGCAGTACCTGGAGAGCAACAGGGTGGGCTTTGCAGAGCCGTGCAAGGGCACAGAGCTTTACCTGCTGCCCGTGGGCAGCGAGGGGGAGAACCTGCTCAGAGCCAACGGCTTCCTGCCCAAGCAGGCGCTTCCTGCTCCACCCACTGCTGCTGCTGCTGCTGCGCCTGCTGCTGCTCTGCCTGCTGCTACGGACGTGGCTGCTGATGCTGCTGCTCCTGTTCCGGGCGCTCCTGCAGCTACTCCTGCTTCTGCTGCTGACTCTGCTGCTGCTGTTGCTGCTGCAGCGGAGACAGGTTCTGATGCCGCTTCTGGTCCTGGTATTGCTGGTGTGGCCGGTACTAGTACTGGTAGTGATCATGCCCCTGCCGCAGCTGCTGCTACTGCTGCAGAGGTGGTTGAGACCGAGCAGAAGGCGAATACGGAAGTGAAGGTCAAGGAAGAGGTAAAGGTGGAGGCACAGAGTGAGAGAGACTCAATCTCTGTGAAGGCTGCCACTGGAACGGACAAATCAGCTGCAGGGCAGGCTGTGAAGGAGGAGGCGGTGGAAGCAGGAGTTCTGAAGAAGGAAGAAGGTGCAGCAGAGACAGCAGGCGGAGCAGTGACGTCTGTAGGGGATGCTGTGGTGGAAGGAGAGTCAGCGGGAATGGGTGTGGAGGGAGAAAAGGCGGAAGGAGCAGGGGATGGTTCTGCCTCCGCTGCTGCTGCTGCGGATGCTGCTGCTTCTGTTGCTGCGACAATTTATGCCACAGATGCAGTGGGTGCAGGAGAGGCAACACCGACTGGTGTGGAGACAGCAGGGGAAGAGGCTGGGGCACCAGGAATGAGTGAAGAGAGAGGAGAAGCAGCAGCAGCTGCTGCAGGAGGGGAGGTCAGTCCTGCAACCACTGCCATCGCCACTGCAGACACCACACCACCAGAAGCCGCACCAGCACGATTGGCAGCAGCACCACCAGAAGCAGCAGCAGCACCAGATGTAGCAGCAGCAGCAGAAGCAGTACCCGATGTAGCAGCAGCAGCAGCAGCAGAAGCAACACCAGATGTAGCAGCAGCAGCAGCAGCAGCAGCAGCAGCAGCAGCAGCAGCAGCAGCAGAAGCAGCACCAGAATCAGCGGCAACAGCAGCAGCAGTTGTCTCTGCAGGTGCACCTGTTGCGCCATCCGCCCCAGCACACACTGCACCTCCTGCCACAGAGACTCCTGCAGGTATGGGTACTGAGGGAGAAACCAGTGGAGCCCGCACTCAGTCAGAGCATGGGAAAGAGCCGACAGACTCTGCTCTTGTGACCACTGAAGCAGCCGGAGAAGCAGGAGCAGCTGGAGGAGCAGCGGAATCAGCAGCAGCAGCAGCAGCAGCAGCAGCAGCAGCAGCAGTAGGAGGAGGCTCAGATGCAACTGCACTGATTGTTTCAGGGACCGTCTCTGCAGCAGCCGCTACTGCTGGTTCTGCTCTGACTCCCTCGCCTGGCTCTGCCTCTCTCAGGTTCTCCTCGTCTGCTGTTGCGTCTCTGACAGCTGGGGAGCGTGTGCTTGCTCTTCCTGCGTCCGCTGTGGGGCAGAGAGTGCTAGGCCTGCTAGTGCAGCGAAAGAGCACAGCACAGGTTATAGCCGCTGCTGCTGCCGCCGCTGCAGCTGCTTCTGCGTCTGCTTCTGCTACCGCCACCCATGCTGCTTCGGCTGGCCCTGATGCTGCAGGTGCTGCGACCGTTACCCCTGCTGGGTACGGTAAGGTCAGTAAGCGGGAATCGGGCTATAAGGTGGATGATTCTGCAGCTGCAGCAGCGGCTGCTGCAGCCGCTGCAGCCACTCGAGGTCTATCAACTCATTCCTCCAAGGCTGCAGTAGCAGAGTCCCCAGCCAAGTTCCCTCCACCAGACGCCATACCCCCACACGCACATCGGCAGGAGGACAAGCCAGACAGGTTCCGGCATGGTGCAGGGCACGGGCATGAGTACGGGCGAGAGAGAGACCGCGAGCGGGAGCGGGAGCGGGAGCACGGCCGGGAACACGGGTACGGCTCGTTCCATTCAGGCCATGGGCATGGGCCTTCACCCGTTGCGCTTCGCCGCGCAGGCAGCAGCGGGGGAAGTGGGGGCGGTGGTGCTGGACCTGGTGGGTATGGAGGAGGGGCTGCACATACCCCTCCTGCCCCACGCTCCCGCCCTCCCATGTCACCCGCTGCTGGTCCGAAATCGGGTCCTATGGCTGCTGTGTCTCCCCGCCTGCCAACGTCGCCCACTCCTGCTTCTGCAGGGTGGGGTGGCCGAGAGAGGCGAGAGGGGAGGCGGCGAAGGGGACGCGGGTGGGATGATGGTAGTGATAGGCACCCGGGCGGGGCTGGTGCTGCTGGGAGGGGTGTTGGTGTTGCTGGTGGGAGGTTGGGAGGAGGAGGAGGAGGAGGAGGAGGAGGAGGAGGAGGAGGAGGAGGAGGAGGAGGAGGAGGAGGAGGAGGAGGAGGAGGAGGAGGAGGAGGAGGAGGAGGAGGAGGAGGAGGAGGAGGAGGAGGAGGAGGAGGTATGGATGATGATGATGATTTACCTGAGTTTGAGTTTGAGCAGCCGGTACTGCCACAGCAGCAGCAGCAGCAGCAGCAGCAGCAGCAGCAGCAGCAGCAGCAGCAGCAGCAGCAGCAGCAGCAGCAGCAGCAGCAGCAGCAGCAGCAGCAGCAGCAGCAGCAGCAGCAGCAGCAGCAGCAGCAGCAGCAGCAGCAGCAGCAGAGTGAGCCGTCTCTCCCTCCTGGTTTCTATTCCGGCAGCCCGGCTGCTGCTCCCGCACCAGCTTCTGCTTCCATTCCTGCTGCTCCTCTCGCTGCTGCTGCTGCTCCCATCTCTTCTGCAGGCGCCTCTACTTCTGCGCGCACTCCTCCTATGGTTGCCCCTGATGCTGCTGCAGCGGCTGCAGCTGTGGTTGCAGGCGGTTTGCCCAGTAATCTGGCCTCTGCTCTTGCTGCCGTAGCTCCTGCCCTCGCCTCCCTTGCAGCTCTAACTTCTCTGCAAGGATCTAATCAGCAACAGCGGCAGCAGCAACAGCAGCAGCAGCAACAGCAACACCCCGTCGCACAATCACTTACCATGGCAACTCAAGACCGCACAAGCTCAGTTGCTCCTCCTTCCTTCACCCCTTCTCGGCCGTTCATCCCACAACCGGGTACATCAACTCCCGCTGTCCCGCCTACCACTGCTGCTGGTTTTGGTCCTGCTCATATCCATCCACAGCAACACCAGCAGCAGCAGCACCTGCTTCCCTCTATGTCTGCTCCTACACCCATGGCCTCGGTACCTCCTGCTCCTGCCCGCCCTGTTTGGAAGATCACAACCACCACTGCCCCCAGTCCGGTCGCGTCCATTCCCCCTGCTGTGCCTGCGGCAGCGCCTATCCCTCCCCAGGGAGGTATGGTCCCAGGATCTGGAATGGGGATGGGAGCAGGCATGGGTGGTGGAGGAGGTGGGCCTGTAGGTGCCGGGGGAGATGTGTGGGGCGCCATGCCAAAGCCGCAGCTGCAGCAGGCACATCAGCAGGAGCAGGAGCAGCAGGCGGTGCAGCCGTTGCAGCAGCAGGGGCAGCAGCAGGTGCCGCTGTTAGAAGGGTATGGAGGAGGGGACGGGCCGAGAGGACCTCAGGGTTTCAGGGGAGAAGGAGGCTGGGCTCAGGGCCCCGGTGGGGCGGGACGGGGGCCTGGATGGGAGGGGCAAGGCCGGTGGCAAGGGCCTGGACAAGGGGAGGGAGGCTGGATGCAGGGACGGGGGCAGGGCCAACAGGCGTGGCAGCAGGGACAGGGACAGGGGCAGGGCCGGGGTCAAGGGTGGCAGCAAGGTCAAGGCCAGGGAGATGGGCAGTGGAAGGGGCAGGGGCAGGGGCAAGGACAAGGATTGCAGCAGGGGGGCCAAGGTGGGTGGAAGCAGGGGCAGGGGGAAGGGCAGTGGCAGCAGGGGCAAGGGGAAGGGCAGTGGCAGCAGGGGCAAGGTGAAGGGCAGTGGCAGCAGGGGCAAGGATGGCAGCAGGGGCGGGGGGAGGGGCAATGGCAGCAGGGCCAGGGAGAGGGGCAGTGGCAGGGGGGGCGAGGGGATAAGCAATGGCAGCAGGGTGGGGGAGAGGGGCAGGGTCAGGGGGAGTGGCAGCAGGGTGGACAGGGGCAGTGGCAGCAGGGGCGGGGCCAGGGGCAGTGGAATCAGGGCGGGAGAGAAGGGCAGTGGCAGGGGCGTGGGCGAGGGGGGGGATGGAGAGGTGGAAGGGGAGGAGGTGGTGGGCGTTGGGGACCTGGGGAAGGCGAATGGAGACAAGGCCCTGGACGGGGGCAGGGGGGATGGCAGCAAGGGCAGGGGCAGGGGCAAGGACAGCAGTGGCAGGGACAGGGGCAGGGGCAAGGGGAGTGGCAGGGGCAGAGGCAGGGAGCGTGGGAGCAGGGGCAGGGGAATAATCAGGGGCAAGGAGCGGGAGGGGGAGAGGAAGAGCAAGGTCAGGTTCAGGGAGTGGGAGGACATGGGCAGGGGCAGGGACAGGGAGCATGGGCTCAGGGTCAAGGTCAACAGACGAATTGGGGGCAAGGCCAGGGCGTTACTGGGTGGAAGCAGGGGCAGCAGGGTGAGGAGACGTGGAGTCAGGGCCAGGGAGGTCAGGCTCAAGGCCAGGCTCAAGCACAGGGTCAAGGGCAGATCCAGCAGGGAGGGTGGGGGCAAGTACAGGGACAGGGACAGGGACAGGGACAGGGACAGGGACAGGGACAGGGACAGGGACAGGGACAGGGACAGGGGAGTTGGTTCCAAGGCCAAGGTCAAGGTGAAGGGAACTGGGAACAAGGGCATGGGCAGGGAGATGGAGCACAGGTCTATGGTGGGGCTGCTGGTGCTGATAATTCCTATTACGGTGGTGGTGGTGGCGGTGGTGGTGGCCGTGGTGGGCGTGGGCAGGGGGGGTTTGGGCCTGACTATAATGAGCATGGTCATATTGAAGGGCCCAGGGGGGCAGGAGGGCCTGGGTGGGGTAGAGGTCAGCATGGAAGAGGAGTAAGTGGAGGTGGTGGTGATGGGGGAAGGCATTATGGTCCAATGTAATCTGAGCTGTGCAGGCAGTCGCCGATGAAGGGCCCAAGTGAAGGCAGCGCAAAAAAAGTCACGTGGAAGCTTGTTGGGATCTTGTGTCTGTTCGTTTTATGTGTGACACAAGGTTCCAAAAGCAGCGGTTTTTTGCCATAAGGCTGAATGGAAATGCCCATTTTTGCATTACATGCAAGAATGCCTCACTGCAGTGAAAGGGCTTGCCATTTGGAGTGTTCTAAAATAAACTACATAGGCATTGTTTGCCTAATCAGTTTCTGCTGAGAGCAAGCAATGTTACCAAACCGTGTACTTAGGTATGGTAGTTCTACCTTTGTGTTACATGTTACACTCTAGGTCTGTTGTGTGTACTTGGTGACAAAGATGCAGAACTCTTTTAGTTACTGAAGTTTGTTTTTGCTTTTCAGGAATGACTATACAGAAACGAAGGTCGATCGTGTACACTTCCCCATGCTTCGACTTACTGTACCCACGCCATGCAGTCCTCGAGAACTGAAGCCTTTTTGTCGAGGTTTGGCGGGAAGCGAAACCACTGCCTGCAAACTTTTGTGACTAGTGTGCTTCACACAACCCCATCCTGATAGGCGATGCGGCTAGCACTTATTCATCCAGCTTTATTGAGCTGACAGCCATGGATGCTTTCCGTCTGACGAATCTGACTCATTCAGAAATTGCACAGTCTCTTCCTCTGCCGGCAATAGCATCTCTTCAAGACGTTAACGGGTCGTCAGTTTTACGAGGGGATCAAGTTACTGCAAGGCTAGCTGATTCACTGCATGGATTGGCGGGAGCTGACATAGATAGGATCGGACGTTTGGTACAGGGAACGGACGTCTCTTACCTGTAAGTGGAGCGTACCTTTCTATCTCTCCAGGCTTTCGGAGCACTGAGCTAACATTACCGTATTTTCTTATCAGATCGTTGGTGAGCCCTTGCGAGAGGAGGGTAGCAGAAACTACAACCATGTCTGGAGCAACCGCAGTTTTGATCAATGCTGTTGAACAGCGATTTCCTGGGGTTTTCGAAGTGGCATCTTCAGGTAGTTCCCCCTTGAAGCCCTCATTCACGTGTACAGACCTTCACGCACTATGTTCGACCATTACACCTTCGTCCTCCTGACTGGGTTTCACGTTTTTTATTGACGCCTAACATGGTGATGTCCTTATGTCTGGACCAGCTGATCAAACCTCTGGACAGTTCGCCGTACATGAAGGATTTCAGCAGCTCGTGCAAAAAACGTCACAGCAGCCTCCACAAGAAGCACCACACGGTTCGCAACTTCTAACTGAGTCAATTCGGAAGGAATTCGTAACCAGGCCGGTGCGTTCATTGATACCGAAGAATTACCATTAGTTTTTCTCGGCGTGATTCACGAAAAGTTCTGTTGCCATGTTGTGCAGCTAGAGACCCATATGAATGACGATGGTACACTTGCGAAGTTGCCAGGTGCATCAGATCAGTTTTCTCCAACGTCAAAGCTCAAGAAACGACGCACAAGCCTTCATCACGGGCTTCGCCCAAGTGTTCATGATGGCGGTAACGGGGAGACTGTTGAAGGTAGGCTATTAGCTACTGTTATATTGCAGCAATTGTCAGATGTCATGCCTAATACTGTGCTTTTTCGCTTATCAGGTTTGTCTAAAGCATTGGAGGATTTTCTTGACATGTTCGAGTCTTCCAGTAGCGACCAGGGTTTCAGGCAAATGGCATGGAAGTCTATGTCTGCCTGGCAAGAGACTGCACGAAAGTGGAGGGAAAAGAAGCTGTTATGCTTTCTTCCGGTCGATTTGTTGTCTCGGTTTCTCCAAGTGCTGGAAGCTCAGATTGATCATGGCAAACTTTCTGCTTTGAAAGACGATGACAACGTAAGCTCAGCTGATTTGCATTGTTATTCACACAGCCTCTGTGATCTGAGTCGTTGCTGAATGGCTTTTCGTCTGCAGGTGAGTTCTGAAGGTTTTGAAAGCGCCATGATGTCTTTGGAGGCTGTCCATCTGTCTCTCCTTATCATGACATCACATGGGATGCCAAAGCAAGTCTTTCAGGAAGAAGTGAGTACGCGACTTGCTCTGCCCCTTTTTAACGCCCAAATTCCCGGAATTTCTCTGAGCCGTTGACCTCCTTGCAGGTGATTGAAAAAATTGTTGAATGTATTCGATTCCACATGTCACGGAACATTTTCTGTGTGTGCGATGCTGTCTACCGGCAAGCACATGCTGATGATGATGGTAAGTTTCATTCAACTCGTGATTAGCTTGTCAAAGGAATGTATCTTCTCTTACGTGACACACCATGCTTTGACACGTGGTTTTTCACACCGTCACAGAAAATGCAGCAGGTCCAGATGGTGCCGCGGAACCGTCAAAAGCTGAGCGGAAAGGACGAAGAAAGTCTAAAGGCATCGATGGCAGGTACGCTTGTTTTGTCCAAGATTCTGTAACATGTCATGTTGTATCTGTTACATGTCATGTTACTACTGTAAGCGACCTTATTATTGCAAGCGTCGTATGGCAGGGCTTCCAAGGCCGTTTCAGCTCTGATGGACAAGGTCTGCAGTATTCTGCCCATATTTGCGATTCTTCTTTCAGTAACAAGGCTGCCAGACAGCTCAGTGCTGCAAATTACCAAGACTGGACTTGAAGCACTCAGTGTGGACAATGTGCATTTGCTTCAGCTGAAATCAATTTTGTTGATCACTGCAGTAAGTTAACAGCCGCCGTAGCAGCCGCTTATGAAGCACCTATTGCCTGTCTCACGATCGTGCTTCTGGTGATATCCACAGATTTTTCGTGTCTATCCACACCATAGGAGCTTGGTGATGGATGAGATTGCTCTATTGTTGTGGAAGCTGCATACGGGAAAGAAGCTCTCAAGAACTTACCATCTGATGGAAAATAGTAGCACTATTCAGCTGGTTTCAGCACTGCTGCTGCAGCTCTTTCAGTGCTGTGTCTTTCTTCCTGAGCCAGAACCTGAGCCTCAAGCAGAGGAAGAGCTTTCAATCAAAGAGACAAAAGCTGCTCCAGTGAAGAAAGGAAAAAGGGGACGACGGCGGCCTTCGAGCTCAGCTGATGAGAAAGGGGCTCTTGATGTCACAGCAACCGACCAGATAGACGATCTGGCAAACACGAATGGAGAGGGGAATGGCAAACTTGGTGCTGACGATGGAAAGAGCAGCCCTGAGAAGGGTCATTCTGACACGGGGCTGGAAAGTGCAATCGATGCAGTCAGATACTTCTGGAAGGTAGCTTTGGAGCGTTGGTCGGCTCCTAAGGCTGGTTCTGAAGGAGCGGACTCTAAAGCAGTGCTAGAAGCCTTGGTCGAAGACCTGCTACTGGCGCTCCACCTTCCAGAGTACCCTGCAGCGAGCCTCATGCTCCAAGTAAGTTGGTGGTTGTGAAC